GTTTAAGTGCATGGTGTAACTCCATTATCTTCTAGACACTAGGGCTAAAAGTCAGTACTGCATGCCAGATATCCACTCGTGGAGAAATGAAATTATACTTGGAAAACTCAACACTAGCAAATGAAGCTTTAATCACAGAGGAAGCCAGGCTGTTAATAAAACTAAAACACAGCAAGGTGAGGAACAGTGATGAGCACCAGAAAAAGCCCGTCAGGAAAGGACATTGGAGCAGAGATCTGAATGAAATAAGAGGGCAGGGGATGATCAGCAGGGACAGTGAGTGAAAAAGGACCTGAAAAGGCTCGCGTGGAGTGTTTATGGACCTGCAGAGGGGACAGTAAGGTTGGAGAGAGAGGACCACATGGAATGGAGGGCAGAAGGGGAAATCTGGGAAATCAGCAGGGGCTGTATCACAGGGCATTGTATGGACTGCAGTGACAACTCGGGATTTTTTAAAATGTGACGATGAGCTGTCTGTAAGGACTTGAGCGAGGAAGTGATATGTTCAGACTGCGTCTTTTGAGAATCACCGTGGCTCTTGGTAGAGAATATTCCGAGGCGGAAGATAACCAGTTTGGTAGCTTCTGGCATCGTCTTCTTCAGTGCTGACAGTGGCTGGTGGCGAGGAGTTAGATGTGGGGTGTGTTGGAAAGAGGAATCGAGGATGATTACAAGGATTTAGGCCTGAGCAACGGAGTGAGTGGAGGTTCTGTTCCCTGAGGGAGAAGGAATTTGTCAGTAAGTGGACACGGGCACGGGGATTGCAGTTCTGTTTGGGATACGTTAATGCTGAAGTGAGATCCGGGGTGTCCCCGTACCTGACTGCAGGCTCCTCTCTACCTTCGTCCCTTCAGAAAGCGCGCTCTGGTGAAGAGATTCATAAAGCAGCTGATTCTCCCAGACGACACTTTTCCGGTTGACTTTTTAATGACAGTGACCCTTTAACGGCTGTATTTGCAGCACCAACTGCTGTCCAGAAGGCTGCCTGGCTAACGCCGGGGTGTGATGTGCTCTCTCTGTCAGAATCGGGCCACAAGAAGCTGAAGAGCACCATCCAGAGGAGCACGGAGACTGGCATGGCGGCTGAGATGAGGAAGATGGCGAGGCAGCCCAGCAGGGAGTCCACGGACGGCAGCGTCAACAGCTACAGCTCAGAGGGCAAGTGAGTGGCAGCAGGACCCTGCGGGAGGGTGGCCGGGCCTTGGCGGAGCGGGCTGCCGGGCCGCCAG